ATTTAATACGTCTAATAAATCTTCTAATATTATAATAAAACAAAAATATCGCACTGTAGCGTGACGTCACTTATTGACTTATTGTATGCGGTGACACGGAATTAGATAACTATATATTACTACTATATAGTAGTGTAAAGATTGAACATATTTAACATCGCGATAGGCCGATTGATAATAATGGTTTTGTCATATTATTTATAAATAGAACAACTATGGAAATTTGAAAACAAAAGAAGACATAGTGTATAATGTGATAGGTAGTTGTACCGACTGTACCATGCGCGTTAATGCGATAAAGAAATTGTTTTTCGATAATAATAATATTTTTTATAAGATTTATAACAGTTTTATTTTAAAACTTCAATAGTTTAGACGTTCAATATTATAAGTTTGTGCCCAGTTTCCAATTTTCTGACGTTTCTGTCGACTTCAAATCAATTATTACTCAATTACTGGTAAGTAATTATTTTAGTAATATAATATGTTCTAAGTTTCTAACTCAATAAAACTGAAATGTATAAACATATTTAAATTAAATCTTTTTTTTTTTTATCTATAAAATATTTATCTTAATAGGTAGGTTATTATATTAATGTAATACAAAATATAAATGCAGTCTTTAATATTTTAATTTTTAAATACCAATCATTGTTTGTTATATTTGAATAGTTTCATACAGTCAAACAATATAATATCATGATAAATGATAATGATAATGACTTATATTTAGGTATATGAATATAATGTGGAAAAAAATGGTAGTCGGGAAATTTTTTCCGTATGAGACTTGTTTATATAAGCCTATTGCCTACTCATATGCATAAATATATAATATAAAATTTGCGTTTACCAGCTATTACCTACTATACATAAATAAATAATAGTTAGAATAAATATATTATTTTCCTCCTTCTTTACGTATTATAATCTCATAATTCTGTTATTAATTTATGTCCATAAGTTCAGTATTAAAAAGTATATTAGTAGTATAAAATGAATAAATATACATTTTTTTATGTTTTTCCTTTTCTTTAAAATAAAAAAATATATTAATTATATATGAATAAAGAAGCCAAGTACTGGTTAAAAATGAATTTATGCGTTATGTTTAGGAAAGTTAAGTTTAATTATTTTCTATGCTGTATTAATATATTTATTGTTACATTTTTTTGAATTAAAATAAAATAAATAGGTTATTGACGCTTGTTATTATATTGTGCGTAAATTTGATTTATTAAAAGTATAACATTAAATCTAAAAACATTCAAATGTACCTATGTATATATTGTTTATTTAATTATGAAGATACATTTTTAGTAAACAAACGTTTGATTAGGGGTACTTATTAAAGTTTCATTAAGGTCGTTCTAAATTATTTTGCCCGGGCCGTGTTATAGAGCTAGTCCAACCCTGTTGGGGAGGCGGGTTTTATTTTAATAAAATACCTATGCTCTATTCGATCACCTGGTCGGTGAACGCTTCCTACTATCAGTGTAATATAATCAATGTTTTTGGTTTTTTTTCATAGACTATACTTATTGACGGTACATGATAGTAGTTCCGGCGTCCACACGTGAAGCGCTGATCAAGATAATACATGGAATACCGCACGCACGTCGCACAAGCACTGTTGGATTGTACAATCATTGTAACCATGCGTAATGATTAATTAATACAAAATACAGCTTTTTATTGATGAATTTCGGTTTTTATACAACTTCTCAAAGTTTCATAGCGATAGGACATAAAACGTCTCAACGTCTATGTTATTTTTCCGCGCTGCAGCGTATGATGTTGAAGAATAAATTTTCATAAATAAATAATCACTCAATTAACTTAAAAAATTGAAATTAAGCCTAAAACCTGGTCCATGAAGTACACTTTCATTAAAAAAAATCAAAATAACCAGTTGAGTGACAAAAATTTCTATTTTCATAATTAAAACATATATATATATATATATATATATACATACAACAGTATGTATTTTATTGTTTAAGCTGTTAGGAATACATTCATTTTAGGGAATTATTGATTCCACCGAAACTACTTTAGGAAAAAGGTTTGTATCGATTGCGCCGGCTACTGTTTAAAATATCTACATGTCGATTCTGCCAGCTATTAATTCAGCCGACTACTGTTTATAATATTTAAACATTGATTCTGCCGGACACTGTTTATCCTGCCCCCTTGTATATGTATTTTATAATATATAGCAGCGGTTCCCAAACCTTTTTAGTTTACCTGAGTTAGTAGGCCAGTATTCACCCAGTCAGGGCCCGAGTGTGTCGCCATTTTTATGTATCTACATTAAAGTGTCGTCACACAAAAAAGGCTGAGAACCACTAAATTAGACTATTCATTTTGGTTTTGAATTACGAGTATTATATAACTATTATAATTTTTTACATTTTAGTACGAGTATGTTGTACCCGCATGTGTTATCTCCGTCTTACATAATATGTACATAGCAAATTTTTGTTCACCGATAAACAGTAGCTGGCGAAATCGATATACGCCTTTCATTTTAGTGTACATGCAATTATTTTTACCAATAAATTTCTTGGAAAAAATGATATCAAACACAACGTACAAAAACGTCAGATAACAGATTTCAGGTAGCTGTGGTAGCTGGAAACCGCCGGACCGCCGGACCGCCACGCCGTACTTTGTTATATAATTTACACGTTTATTTTAATTATTAATGACAAATAATTTACTAACATAGTATTATTGGACTAAATTTATGCCTGACATTTACGTGAACATGAAGAACACATAAAAAAAATTCATTCAAAATTGAACCGATAGTTATCGTATTTATTATACATAAAAATTGTGCCTACTGTTTTATATAATATATGTGCATGGATATAGATATTAGAATTGTGATTTGTGAATTTGTGGCGCTAGAACGCAACGCATGGGTATCATTCAGCTAATTGCGGTAGTTGCGAAAATAGCCGTAGTCCTGTGCAACAGACCATTTAGATAGTCTTAGATAACGAGATTGTGATGTTGTCAAAAAACAAGGTAATCTCATAATATAACAGAAAAGTACCTAGTAAAAAAATATTTAAAAAATGTTCGTACGAACGCAGCAGCAATATGCGATGAAAAAAACAAAATGATTATTTTTTTCAAATCGTCCGGTGCATGCGAACGAAACACGAATTCGATCGTTCGTACGTGTGGCGATAGCGCCGATAGCTGCGTACGCCGTACATTGGAAACACACGAGAGCTTCGCAGCAGCAAGATTTTTGGCATCCTTATCACGAACATGAGCGCGCGTAGTGGAGTAATACGGAGTTACTATCATGAATATATGACCGTGATTATAGCACAGATTATTCTTATCTACTTAGTACATCAAAAATCATTTCAATTAAATGAGTACAAAAATACAAAATTCAAGAAAATATCAAAGTAAATACTTTATATTATATTAATAGTTTTAAATCAGTTCAATGTCAATTAGTCAATTAGTCAATATACATTAAATTAAATAAATAAGTATAAAATAATAAAAGTATAATAAAAAATTAGTTTTTAAATTAGTTCAAAGTAACAAAAATACTATTCATATTATAAATATCACAGTCAATAATTAGTCAATATATTAAATAGATATTATACAATTAAATAAAATATCAATAAAAAATTAATCAAAAATATATAAAAATAATCAGAATAAAATCAAAGTTAAATTAATGTAAGTACTTATAAATCATTATCAATAATAATTTATCCATTATAATTATGATCAAAATCACTATGAATCACTGTGATCTCTTTATTTTTATTTTCTAGTGAAGTTACTATAGCATTTGTTTCATTTATTGAAGGTTTTGAAATATGATTTTTTGATAACTTTTTTTTTTTTGTAGAATAAAGACGGATTTGTGGTTTAATTTTGTGTTGTATATTTATATTATTTACTGTTTGAAATTCAATCTTATTTCCTTCGTTCAATATTGCTATTACTTTAGCCAAGTGTTTTTTTACCAGATCTTTTTGTTCTTTATTGTATGAGTTATTTGCACATAATGTATTAATTACCTTTGTTTGACTAAAAATGTCATCATTATTATAATTATTGGGTGTAATTTTATTTTCATTTACATATGGTAGATTAATTTGCATCATATTTTCTTGATCTTCAGTATTTTTTTCTATGTGTAATATATCACTAGAAAATGACTTATATACCTCACGTGCACAAGCATGGATATGTTTACATATATTCAATTTTATTATATTATCGGTACAAGAACAATGAAATGTATGAATACATATATTACATTGAATACATTTCAAGCATGATTTACATGTTTCACCAGCTTTAATAATATGATATTGTACATTTGGGTTTGATAATGATGATATAAGGTACCCTATTTCATCTTTCAGAATTTGGATTTGTTCAAATTTGATGGCTTCACTAGCTTTATGACTTTGCCGAATTTTATTAATTTTTTCAGTGGGAGCATTCTTCGTTAGCTTTATTAAACGCTGGAAAAAATTATCTCTTGTTAATTTTAAAACTGCATTTATTGTTTTATCCAGACGCTTAACTTTTTTTCCTTCTAAATAAATATGTTTTAAGGTTTTGTGAAATGACTCTAAATACATGTTCGTATTTATTCCGAGTCGCAAACGGTAACAATATGCCCAACATTCTGGTCTACTTGCATAATGTCGTTCAAAATACAAACCAAATGTGTTGGTATTAGGATCATCCAATAAATCCTGTATGGTTTGTTGAAGACATATTTTAAAATCATCAACAGATGTTATTTGTAATAAAACTCTTAATGTTTTATATACAAGTGCTTTTTTTTCATGCCCTCCAGTGATTTTATTCAGATTTTGTCGCCAGTTTCTATCAATATGCCAAGTACATAAAAGCTTATGTGTAGCAGGACCCATTACATTAACCCAAGCATTATAAAATGCAGGTGCATCATCAGACATAAAAACAATTGATTGAATCTGGCCTACTTTGGATTTCACTACATCGAAAAATAATTGAAAAATTCGCTCATCACATCGATTTGAAAACAAAATGCTACAGGACATCCTGATCCAAATTCGTCTATAATCATAAGTGTGTACAATTGTATATCATAAGCATTTGTACCATGTGTACCATCAATACAAATTTTTTCATTTCCAAATTTAACAATTTGTTGCTTTTGAAAATTTGTCATTAAAATTAGACCAAAATCTTCACTGTCCAATATAGAATCGTTAGCACCTTGATTTTTGTAGTATAAAACTGGACAATCTTCTCCGTAACTTAGCATTTCTGTGACCCATAGTTCTACACTAACCGCATCATTTGTATCACGTTTTGTTGCATAATTAATGTTAAAATCTCGTGCGATATTATATAAATCTTGACGCTCCAAAAAACACGAACGTTTTAAAGCGTCTGAAGACATTTCTGATTCTCGAATGGAGTCTAAAATATGAGTCAATGTAACACCTTCCTCTAGCTTACCTAAAAACAATTTTAATACCTAATTAGTATGGACTACACTACAGTTCGTTTACAAAAATAAAAAGCCAAGTATACATCACACCATTTTAATTTACTTTACTCTATTTTAATTTTTTTTTCCGATAAATAAAGAGTACTTATATACAACCTAGGTTATAACCTAACTTAAAAAAGTAACAGAAAAACGGGAAATTTTACGCAAAACCAGTTTTCGACCAAATCGATTTTTGTATACGGTTGTAAATCAAAAACTAATCACTGTAAATACTTCAAATTATCACCAAAGGTTTATGTCAGTGTTATCTATATACAGTTAAATTTTCAAAAAAATTTGACTTTTTTTGAGCTATTTATAGACAACTGAAATTTTCAATTTTTCTGATCTATGATCTATCATCTATGTCATATAGATACTTAGAAAATAAAAGTAAATAATATGAAAGTAATAACCTGCAATTAATGTTCTGGTCATATGATCCAGTCGAATTCGTCCAATTTCTTCAACATGCCCGCAATGAGTCTTCCAAAACTGTGTAAATACAGTTTTATCTGAGTTAGAAATAGTTACCTTTAGCATTGCTGGACAAGCTTTACCGATTTTATTACTGCCCATAGATTTTACATGTCTAATATCATTTCCCTGGCTGCGATAATTATATGATCTGTGACAGTAATAATAATTCCTTAGATTTCCATCTCTCAATTGTGATGTAGCTCTGTCAAGGGTATACATTGACGATGTATGTTGTTCCAAGTCCTGTTTCCATTTTTCAAATTCTGTAATATTATAATTTATAATTACAGTAAATAAATAAAAAGAAAATTTAAATCCTTTTTAAAATATCAAAATTATTACCTGAGATGTCACCAAAATGTTTTTCTTCATACTCTATTTCTAAACCATGACAATAAGTTAAATGCTCTCTCAACTTCACATACGTCTTTAAATCTTTTTCTTCACAGATGTCTACAGGACAAATAATTCTACATTGTAGTTTTGTCTTTTCATTCTTTTTATGAATATTATAACTATGCACTGTTAATGTTTTTTGGGTTGAAAATTGAATTTCACATTCTTCACATTTAAAAGGTTTATCTGGTAAAATATCGGTGTCGTGAAATTTTCTACAATGTACGTATAAACTTTTTTTTTGTGTGAATGTTTTATTACAAAATTTACAATTATGACTATTAGTCTCCATACTTAGAAATAATAATAATGCATAAGTTTTCAAAAATCCTTAAGCACAAACTTTAAGCGGGCGCACTGTTACAAATTAAACAACAGCTTTCTACTTATATTTTGGTTTTTCTTATATTGTGTTTTAATCTTATTACCGGTGGTTGCGGGTATTCCTCAAAAATATTATTATATACGTTTATATTATGGCCGACTATTCGCCAAGACTTATCGTATTGTCGCAAATATTAACGAGTTATTGTTTGCAATCAGTGTTCTGCTAGCGATACTGAAGATATTTCTGATTAGGTAGGTAACTTATAATCTATTATATTGTAGAATTATTGATATAACTATAATAACTAGGGCCCGAATTTATATGCTCTAAAAACCTAAGGAATATGCACTCAAAAATATGCATTTATGCTTTTATTTTGTAGGAATATGTCTTATAAAATAAAATATATGCAAAAATAAATCGATTAAAAAAGTATTTTATTTACATTATTTTTTATATAGGTATTTACATTAAATGGTATTATTTTTTATATTATATTTTTTGAAGTTATTTGAACATATTTTAATTTCAATCTGAAAAATTAATATTAAAAATATTTGTATTAAATAAATTATGTGACTAAACATATCAAAAGCATTCGCATTACATTGTAAATTTGTACTAGGTACGAATGTATTTTTTAGATTTTCGAATGAAAAAAAAAACAACTTCATCAAATTAAACAGACTAAAAATTTAACTGTAAATCCTACGTTATTTTAACTAAAATTAGCAAAATATTATGTATTGTGTAATAAAAAACGTATATATGCGTTTAAACCCGTATAAATAATACAATAAAAATCGTAAATATGCAATAAAAAATGGTAAAATACAGAAATATGCAGTACCTACATGTCAAAAAATGACAAAATATGCATAAATATGTAAAATAAAATTTTAAATTTTAAACAGATAACTTAAAGAAAAGGCGAACAATTGTCTGGATGGAGAATTAAAGTTGTAAACCAACTTTCGGGTTGAAAAAAAACTATTACATAATTTACATTATATATTAAATGTGTACTATGTAGATATAATATTATAATTCATCAAAATCATATACTTGATTTTTAAGGAGTTTTAAACAGGCAATTTGAATAGCAAAGCGTTGTAATTTAATAACTATAATATAGACGATTTACATATTAAGTAATTATTATATTTGTTTATATGTAATTATTTTCATAATTAATATAGAAAAACAATTTCACATGGTTGTATTCTGCTGAGTGTAGTCATAATGTAAACTTTTATATATAACAATAAGTTTAAAGACAAAAAAAGTTGGGAGTTCATTTTGCTTTGTAATGGATGTTTAGTATGTATGCCATTGAATAGTTCAATGTAATGGATATAAATTTGAATTAAATGAATAAATTCATTTTGTACAATAAACGTTGCGAATACAAAATTCGAAATTCGAATTTGGCTAATTCGAAAGTGAAATATATTCATGATAGTAACTCCGTATTACTCCACTACGCGCGCTCATGTTCGTGATAAGGATGCCAAAAATCTTGCTGCTGCGAAGCTCTCGTGGAAACACAGGTCACAGACATGTCATGGGTCTGATAATTTTGATCCCTGCACGCACGCACCGCGCGCGATCACCGAACCGCCGAATTTACTTGGAACACGGCGTTATGGGTGTTGGTCACGGTAGTGTTGCGCACACCGTACCGCTCCGCTTGGGCATGGAAGAATAAAATATATGTATGTATAGCGTTTTCAGTTCTGCTTATGTGACGGCCGAACTTGCCAACGTGGCACTATTTAATACTTTGTACCATGCGCAGTGTGCACCGTGAACGTATCATATTAAGATTCGTGTACATTACAACTATCGAAGGCGATATTTTGTGCACAAAGTACGCGGCCCGACATTTTCGAAGCGATTCTGATTCCTGTATCCTAATTCCTAATATCATCCAATAGCCCCGAGTTATCCCGTGATGCCAAGTCGTGAAAACAAGTGGTTCGGCCTGTACGAGATATTATTATTCGTATATTAGAACAAAAACATCGATATATTCTCACAAAATATCGAAATTTCGATATTGTCGATATTTTTTGCTTCATCACCGTCGGGCGTCAACCATCGGTGTTTGTTACTCACGTACGGACATCCACACATCCATTTTTTAATTGTCTAGTCGCCGCTATTCTCATTTTGCTCCACATTCAATAATATATATTTACAAGATAGCCGACATCACCGCTGTTTTTCATGTTTCATTAATTATTCACATTTTATTGTTTTTTTTTAACGTATTCTGTATTTCCGACTATCGTCGAGTGATCCAAGACACACGCATCAACATGGCTGCCGCTTCCATTGTTTCCGAAAACCAAGGTACCTACTATTTATATGATTATAATTTATAACGTACCTAAGTAGGTAATTCAGTCTGTCGGTACACCGTGTTATATGTGGTGTTGCGTCTCCGTTGCACTAATACATAACATCGGTTATAATTAATACATATTGTTGCGTCCCTTATGTCAACGTCGATTCATATATCAACGTAGAAATAGAAATACTAATGTTTGCAAGTTAAAAGATTTTAGTCTTTATTTAATACAATTAACTAGTACAAGAATACAATTTTATAAGCACAAGATGGTGTGAGTGGTGTTACGACCTGCCTCTGAGCATCTCGAATATCCCTAACCGTCTGCTGAGCTCTTGCCCCGGTCTCCCTTATATATGGTTAACCGTCAAGAGTGGTGACTGGGGAGGTGCGACTTCCGATGACCTAAAGGAGCTCTCTAAATTAAATGTATTATTCAGTTGGGTGCCTTTCCTGCGATTTCATCGGTTCTAAGAATTACAAGACGTATGATCAAGTCTTAATTGTCATATTAAATAGTACAATGTTAACACTATCGTTTACTCATCATTTCTGAGAAGTCCAGGACGTGTGATCATGTCTTATTCATTATATTAAATATCACGATGTACAGGTGTTCGCCCTATCCGTTGGTGCTACACTGTTTGAATATATTATTCCATCGGTATACGCGTCACCTCTCTGTATAATATATATGTGTAAAATAACACGGTACGTAACAATATGTTAATATTAAGGACTTTAAGTTAAGGCGTGGATTTCAATGGAAAGCACATAAGTTTTTAAGTGCTCTAGAACAAGTAGAATAATACATTTCAAGTACATAATTTTTCCATCTTACAACAAATTTCAATGATAACATTTTTACTTGGAATTTTTTAACATATATTAAAACTTTATATGAGATGTTAATGTAAATGTAAGAAATCCAAAATAGGGTAACGGCACCAGTCTTTGGCAATATAGCAATTATTTTTTTATTACCACCTTTAAATATTAAACCACTTTAGTAAAATCATGCTACAATATTATTTCATTAACCCATTTATGAAGAATTCTGTACTCTTTTACATGATTATAATTATTTAAATATTTATTTAAAAATACCCATTTAATTTTAAATGTCTATATATTTGGTTTTTATCTAGTGTATGGCACAAAAAGTCCAGTCTTTGGCATTACATTAAAACATTTTAATTTCATAATTATTCATACGTATCTAGGTAAATATATTTTTTGTGCTATTGAACATAGGTAGGTTTGTATGAATAAATAAGACATGTAAATAAAAAAAACCATTAACTTTGTATTTTTTATAACAAAATAATAAAGGTACTTTGAGATAAAAAATAAACATTTTTGGTTAACATTTTTATAATAAATATGTAATTAAGTAAATAATAAGTATTTTCTTCAATTTGGATCAGTCTCTTTTTTCCAATAAACATATATACAATTAACAATATATCTAAGTGATTAACAATGGTTTAAGAATAATAGGTAATTAGTTTTTTCTTCAATTTGAATCAGTCTCCTCTTTCCATTTCTTAAAATAAAATAAACATATATACAATTAACAATAGGTATTTCTAAATAATTATCATTACCTAGTTAAAAAATAATAAGTAATTAGTCTTTTCTTTAATTTATTACAATTTTCTTTCTGCTTTAATTATATCTAAATAAAAATTTTAAAGGAACCTTATAATATCTTATAATAGGTAACTCATGCCTCATCATCTGAATTTTCATCTGTATCAAAATCTTCAATACCAGATAATTCTTCATCACTCATCATTAGGTACACACAGATGACATACAAACTCTATTTCTTCTTTGTCATTTACATCTAAATCAAAATCCTTCCTGTGTTCTTTTGGTATGCATTCTACATGAAATTATTTTTTACAACCATCACACTCTACCCATTGTCTTACTATACTTCTTATAACTTCAGGGTTATATCGACACAAACACATAGCACACTGCCAATCTTCATCTTCTGCTATTCCTCTTTTTTTTGCCACTCTTTTTGCCTTACAAGCATTTTTTTTATCTTTTCTTTTTCTTTCTGCCTTCAATTGTTCTCAGATTTCTTTTTCTTTTTAGTTTTTTTTTTTCAAATTCTTGGAATTTTTTTGGCATAACAACTGACGGCATATGCAACCTGCGATTTACTTTGTTGTTTTTTTTTTCAGAATTTTTGGCCATAAGAGGTTCTTCTTAAAAGGTGATGGAACTCCCTTTCCACCTGTATGAGGAGACATTTTTTCTGCCAACGTATTTCTTCTTTTCTCTTTAAATGTAAGGTCCTTAGGAAGTGCAGTGCTACAACTAGGAATATTTGATAATTCTACACTTTCAACTATTGTTTATACATTTGACTCTAATATTTGTTCATTTAAAATTGGTTTGGAATCAAAAGTTTTAGGTGTTAAATTGTCAATTATAACACATTGATCTTCTTCAACTGTTATTCCTGATGATAATAAATTACTTGTTCTCCAGACTTCAAAGAGATTCTTAACTTCTGTTGGTCCCATCCATAAATCATTATTTAATTTTTCTTTAAATTGTTGCAATGTATTTTTATCAATTATTTTTTCTAAATAATTGTGTCCTAATTGGTTATTAATTATTATTAAGTTCTAGTGATGTTATTATTGGTATATTGTCTGGATCAGGATTATTAGGTTCAGAGTCACAACTAGTAGTTAAACATTTACTATAGTCGATAGCTTGGGAATTCCATGGAAATAGACCACATGTGGAAAATCCACTTTTAATTGTTGTTTCAGTTAGCCTGGTCTTAATCACAGTATTTAACATAGGAGAAAATTGCATTTCATTTAATGGTTCTTGAGTTTGCATACGCCATTTGTGGACTTCTTTAGCCCATTCTTGTTTCAAAGGCCCAAATATAGCTACGTCAAGAGGCTGTTGAATGTGTATAGCATTTGGATAAAAAGCAATTATATGTATTCCTTTACTTTCACAAAATACACTTAGGTGATATGTTAAATGAGATACATGTCCATCCAGAAATAAAATAATTAGAAGTTTGATGTTTTTTTCTACTAACCAGGGATAAAAAAAAACATTAAGAACGTATTCAAAAAACGTTTTACCTGTGATCCATCCAATGTCTAACTTGGCCATGGCCCAATCCTCAGGCATAATCTGGGCAATTCCTTTTGGCAATCTTTTACCTGCAAAAACGACCATTGTTGGTGTTACAATGCCGGTTGCAGCAACATTCACTAATACAGTGATTTGCTGTTTTTCATTATTCCTTACAACTTCATATACATTTTTCTGACCACGTATACTTAAAACTTTTTCTCCTTTGGACACATGAAGCCAGATTCATCAGTATTGAATATTCTACTAAGATCCTTCAGGATATCCCTTAAATAAGATTCTATTAAAAATGTCTCAACATAAGAAAACCAATTAAGATTTGCTGTTTAGCTACATAAGCTCTTGATTTTATAACTTTCTCAACAGTACGCTTTGCAATTGAAGGATGCCTATTCATAAATAACTTTAGCCATTTTTGCCAGGCTTTCCGTTGGGAAATTTTGTGTCCAATTTCATTTCTTTAACTATTTTTCCACCAAAGATAATAAATCGCTACTTACAATAGGAAACCCTTTTTTGGACATCGCTTCTATCCATTTCACCAGTAACTTTTCGTACTGATCGAGAACTGGTTTTGATCCAAATTTCCTAACATTTATATTTGCTTTTCCATCTAATAAGTTCTGTAAACTAGACCTAGAAACATTAAATTCTATGCTTGCTTGATAAACTGTCATGTTACTTTCTCTAACAGTCTTAATAGCATTTTCCATGCTATAAGTGTTGTACTTAAATTTAGGTATGGAAACCATAACTACAAATACCCAACTACCAACTAATTATTAACACACTGCTGAAAACAAGAATAATAAAATAAATATGTATGCCAAACACTGGGATTTTAAATGAACTTAGTGTTTGGCAAACTATGTCAAACACTGTTACTTTATGTTTTAGAAACCTAGTTATTGGCAATTTAATAATTCACATTCAATAATCTTCATATAACTTCATAACATATATAATTAATTAAAGTATGTTTTAATGAATATTTTTGTAATAATTGCATTAACTTACCTTAAATATTTGTAGTGCAAAAAAAAAATAGGCATTAGAGTTTTTTAAAGTCCATGATTTTAATTATTAAATTGATAATCAACAACGACATAATTAAATGGTTTTTATCAAATATGATTTGTAAGATTGATTGTCAAAGACTGGGTGAGTGGTGAGTGCCAATAACTGGTGCCATTACCATAGGGTAATCAAGAAATTGTTCTTTGAATATTTACTCTAATAGTTTTTAGTTTTATAAAGTATATTTCATTGGTACTATATGTCAATTATTATTCTCTGTATAAAATCAATAATCTTTTGGTCTCTAGCAACTACCCAACCACCGAGTATAGTGTTTTAAACAATTAAGTGCTTATAATTATGGATTTTTATTATTGTCAATTTCTTAAAATAAAAAGTGTTTTTGTTCCACTTAAATAATTGTGTGCCTATACTTTTTTTGTACTTAGGGGTTTTAAAGGCATTATTGTATTAGGTAAATTTCTTATCATGTTTTAAAGTATTTATTAAGTTTTTAAGAAATGTAGAACCCTAGTTAGTTATAAATAAATGTTGTTACCTTGAGTTTTCTTTAAATGTAATTGTACTTATTGTGCAAACCAAAATTGTGCTGTGCTAACAACATTTGATCATGTTGTCTAGTCAGATTAGGCACTTTTGGCTCTTAATTCAATTAAGGTTAAGGTTAATGTTATTTTTTTTTTTATTATATATCTACCTACTTTTAAATAGTAAAATATTTATAAGAAAATTTACAGTCAGTAGTAATTCCACTTAAGATTTTATATTTTATTAAAAATTTTCTTTTTTCTTTTCAATAACATAATTAATTTATAAGAAAGTTAAAATTTTAAAAATAAGCTTTTGTTATTTTGGCAGTACTTAGGTAGGTAGTTGTGTATAAACATACCTATCATTGCTAATAGTTGAAATTTAAAATTTTCTAATTTAATTTTTTGTTTTGTTTTTATGTGCAATTTAGATCAAATTGGCTGGGTCACAATTTCAAGCTGCTCTCTACCATTTGTCACGCGAATAGTTAATGATGAACGTTTGCAATTTGTTTCTGTGCGAATGGCTGAAAATAATCTGCTTCAGAGATATATATCTCAATTACATATAAATGTTATGAAGTTTTCACCAGCAAAATCTCTTTATATGAACAATTTTGAAGCTAAATATTTTAATAAAATGAATCAAATTCATCGCGATAAATTATACAAAGAAAATACACCATTTAAAACCACAGATTGTATTGTTCGTGTTGAGGATGTCAAAGAGTTTCACATATTCATTGAATTTTGTCATACAAAATTATTTAACGATGTTATTCCTAACACTTATGATAAGTGTGGTTTTATATGCGTGAGTGATGAATTTGATATGTCAGTTATTCCATATATCGTTAAAGATAATATAAAATATACGCCACTATTCTTTTTTGAAACTGAATCAGATCTGACTCCATTGTGTAAAAAAATGGAGGGTTGGTGCATAGCTTATCTAAAGTTCTGTTTCAAAGTCATGGATATTAATTATGAATTATTCTTATCAATTGATTCATACATGATGATAAGTATTAGTAATATCAAGCGTTATTTTCAAAGATTTACACGTTTTCACAAATTATGGCCACCTAATTTTGATAGATGGGATTTAATTGATCATACACGAACCAATCGATCAGGTTCCTGGGTCAAAATACCGCTTCAAATACCTGCTACTGAGAATATTCATGAGCAACAAGCAAACCAAATGGTATGTATTTGTAAATTTATGTGGCCAAGATGTATGAACATTCACTAAACATTTAATGTAACAATAATGACCTAATTGTCTCTAAAAAGTGATTTAGTAGCTAATGACTGGTCCATTAAATTATTTGCAACTTAGCTTTAGTTTATTAAATTGATTTTTATATTTTAGGTTCTTTTAAAATAAAAATTATTTCTAGTGTTTTTCAAAATTTATTTACTTAATTACAAGTATAATTTTAACTATTAATAAATAATTGATCTATACATAAATAGGTATACAAATTACATATTTAGTACCTAACAAAATAGTTTATAGAAATGGGTTAATTGATTTGATGATTTAAGATATTTTTATTTGTATTTTATAATAGTAATTATGTCAAATATTTGTTTCAAATAAACCAATACATGTTCTGTAATATCCATAAATTCTCAATAAATTTAATGTTTTAATTGGTTAAGAGGACGTCGCACCAGTACTAAGTTTTGTCTCCTGTCTTAACACACATATGATATAGTAAATTTTCATTTACCAGTTTCAATAGTGTGCTTTTAGTTTTGATATTAAAGTGAATTGACCTATTATCAAACTTTAGTTAAGAACATTATCTGTGTTCTCTGGTTGAGTTTTTTATAATATTTTAATTTTTAAGTTAAGAGTATGAAAAATATAAATGTTTGAAAATGCTTATAGCTCACTTAAAAATATAGTCTTTTTCCCATTCATACAAAATTTCAAAATCAATATTCTTTTAAAAGTAAAATTTAGTATTAAATAAAAATGGTTGAAACTTTATTTTTAATTTTATTGATATCAGAACAAGTAAACAAATAAATTAAATCATTAGTAAGTTAATTAAAAATGTTAAGATATAATCATAAAATTGAATGCTAAATTTGAAAATTATATTATTAGCTATCAGATATCATTAACTTTAGATTTTGTGGTATGATCACAGAATAAGATACCTAAGTAGTTAGTTACTTCTTTATAATATACTAGCTAAATTACCCGGTTTCTCTCATGTGCAGTTACAATATAAATATAACAATCACTCATAGGAGTTGGGAGTATTTGGTACAACTCAGTAAAAAAAAAATTGAATAAATGTTATAATAGTGTTGTCACAAAAGGAAATATAAAAAAGAGCTGTTATTTTATATATATAGGTATTGTCAAAATTCTAACTTAACACTTACCTGAAGTTATTTTGAATTTATGCTCAATTATTTATTTTTTAACTACATTGTGTGGAATTCACAATTTTGTGAGCAATCTTGTAATTTTTTAAATAGCTTAAAAATTCATTATATTTGAAAATTATACCATGTGTAGATTATACTTCAACAAATATTTAGTGTAAATTTAAATTATTATAATTGTTAATTTACTAAAACGAGTAAAAAAAAAATTTTATCAAGAACTAATAATAAATCTTCCCATTTTCCCCTTTTATTTATTATAAAAATAATGAAAATTTTATTTTTGAAAAACTCCTCGTTGGTTTATATTATCTAAATATTACTAAATTTAATGTGATAATTTTGTTTATTTTATGATTTATTATTCTTTATTACAATTATTTTGAATTTGTGCCATGACATAATATAATTTTATTTTGGTTGTGATAGTAGCTTTTTCTTTGTGAAATATTTTATAACTAATTATTTCCAACTTTTGTGTTAAGAGTGAGCTTTTACTTTTAAAATTAAAAAAAAAATATGAATAGTAATCTTTACATTACAATTTTACTATTTAATATTTTGCAATATTGGTTATATAAAATTAAATTAATAATGTTTTTCATTATATGCACTACATTTATGTGTATGGTTCCCTATCCTGAAAAAAATATAATTGCTTATGTAACTTTATATTGAAATGATTAAAAATAACTCAAAGCAAATGTATTATAAAGAGTCAGGATAAATATTATAATATCCAGACTGGTTTAGTCTTTCAGTCTTATACTAATATATATACATATATATAATTTTTTATGTAAATTAATAGTTTTTCATATTCTGCTATTATTGAATTTTCAGGATTCATCAATTATGGCTCAAGGCAGCAATGTGGATCATGACCTTGAATCATCACCATGAAGAATAACCTCAGACGATTTAAACTAAGTGGGTTGACTGAAGTTATATAGTTATGTATTAAACATAAAAGTATATTATATTCTTAAGCATTTTGTATCTATTAACTCCCATGATCTAATGTTACATAAGCAAAATTATTCTCAAGATAATTTAGTCTGCTTTTAATATGTTTTAAATTATTATTATATTACGTGTTATGTATTACTTTTTATTTATATATGTTTAAATATTACAATGATTTTGGATCTTTTTTTTATTTTTATTTGTTTTATCATTGAATTTATTAAAATAGTAGTTTTAGATTAATTGAATACTTATTAAATAGTAAATTGTTAGTTTTTAATTTTTGTAGTGACAAATAAAGAAAACTGAAACTTAATAATTAATAGCTGTTGCTGTTTTGATATGTTTATAGAGAAAAAGTAGAATTTTTTTGGTACAATAATACAGATTTTATAGTAATAGAAATATATTGTGAAGAAAGTTAAATGTAAATTGTCTATCATCTGGATAAGAATATCTGAAAATGTATCAACTTGGTTACAAAACTCTATTAGAGTACTATACTTTATCCAACTAGATGTTCAATTAAAATATACCCTAGTTTTTTTAAAATTATTTTAATGTTGGTATGTAATGATGGCCACTCTTTGTAATCAATGACTCAAAAGAGTCATCATCACAATCTTGGTGTAGACATATGTGTAAATATGTCTACATTATATATAATGATCTACAACTAATAGTGTAATGTCCTCAACATAAACAAAAATGTACTATCCACTCAGACTGTACCCATTAACCATCTGCCGGATCCCTACAATGGCAGTCTCAATATGTGAGCCTTCGATGATGATCATATACTCACAAATAATGAGTGGCTTAATGTAAAACTATTATTATATATTATATTTCAAATAATAAATATATTCTATTTTATGTACCTTACCTTATACAGTAAGTGTGTTTTCAATTAATATTAAAAACCAAGTATCCAATCTATCAACCATTAGTAAGCAAACCACCGCTTGGATTTAGGTAAGTAAGATTGTCTCATAATTAAATTCTTATGTATGCTCATATAAATACATATACACATCTATAAAAATATGTTACGGGTAATGTATTATACTATCCGGAAAATGTAAACTTTAATCATATGAATAGTGTATTATATAATATAGATTATCTACCTAAATTATGTATTATCCAATCAATTTATATATTAAAGTATTCGTATTACTATAATCATAAACATAATAAGTCTTAAATTATATCAGTATAATACGACCAACACACCAAACATTTCAAATAGTTCAAATGCTTCATTTATACAGACTGACTCTAGTAGAAAAAAACAAATTATACTAATCCAAAAATAAATATTATTAATTATTATAACTATTAAATTATTAACCCTTTAACGCGCAGACTTAATTTTAAATTCAATGATTGAGACAAACTGTGGCATCCATAGAAGCCACTTTAATTCTACTTGTATGCGCGCAATTTTTTATACTAAAGTAGATTTTACATATCTGTGGCATAAATAGTAGTAGCCACTTTGTTATCAGTGAATAAAACTGGTTAAAGATTTTAAATATGATTGTTAATATCAATATCGATTATAGATCATGGAAACATGTGTTGACATGATACTAGTTTATAAAGTGAAGTGATAAGCATTATAAAACATATTTTTATCATAAGTGGCATGTATACAACCACTATTCGATAAAATGACCAATACATTTGATTAATTCAAATTTTCGTGTTTTTAAATTGTTCAAAAATAATCAGACATCAAACAAGTAAGTACACTAAATCCTTGTATAATTTGACGTATTTTTACTACTTTTTAACAATTGTATTGTTTTGCACGAGTTCTACACAAAATATATGTGTTATTTTGTTTATTTTCAGAAATAATTTTTCAAGGATTTTATATTTTAAAAAATATTTGTAATAAATAATACATATATATAATCGGATGTTCTGCAGTTTTAAAATATAACATTTGTCATTGCTTTATAAGCTAAAGATGATATTTGAACAATTCAATTAAATTATACATTAAATATACTATTTTATCTATATCATAGTAATTGTAGAACTATACTTATTGTTATAAACTTAATTTTTATTACAGTTTCTGAACAAAACATGTCGAAATTATCAAATGACGACATTGTGAAATTTTAAATGGAATTTTGACAGACAGGCCATTGACTCTGATTGAGGGAGAGATGGTGAAGATGCACCATGTTCAACAGATATTAAATGTTAACTAAGAGACTTGAAAAATAATTGGGCTGTGATACTATATTATTTATAATTCTAAATAGTAAATATATTTAATTTGTTATGTATACTAAAGAAGCATTTTTATTACCTATATTTTAATTTATTACTATACAATGTTATACTGTTGTTATACTTATGACTATGAAGTTTATAGTCTTTTCCAAAGTTGTTTTGTTAATTTGTTATTATTTTTATAATTATTCACATCTATTGTATTCATTTAATTCGTCAAGCATCACGTAACCGAACGAAGTACAACAAT